AAAAAAAAAAAAAAAAAAAAAAAAAAAAAAAAAAAAAAAAAAAAAAAAAAAAACCACAACAACCATTAGATCCTGGCCATGAAAGCCTTCGCAAATACATAGTATGTCTTGTTTTTGGAGAAGAAGGGAAATTTCTTCTTGAAGTGCCAATGAGTGGGGAGTAGTTTTAATTACAGTAAAAGGTGGGTCTGCTGAAATTCGATGAAACAGTCCTTTTTGACAGTCGAAAGGACCCATTGGTCTCTGGTGATTTGATGCCATGCACTGTGGAATGGTTGTAACCTGGTTTGAAACGGAGTGGAAATAGTGGTAGAAGATGGAAGGGGTTTATTGATACTGTTTACCCTTCTTCTGTTGGCGTCAAAATGGTTGTCGATGTGGTTGCTGTTGCTGGGGTTGAAAGGATGGTGTGATAGATGTTGACGGGCCAGAATAAGGTCTATCCTGCATTTGTGGCTTGCATGTATGGCATGGTTGGTGGAATGGCTGAAATGGCTGTTGGACAAAGGACTGTCTGCGGTACTGGGGGCACTGGTATCGAAATGTTTCTTGGTTGGAATATGTTGGTACATGCGCTCGTAATCTCCAGATTAGACCACTGTAATGCGCTCTACGTGGGGCTACCTTTGGGGTTGCTGCGGAAACTACAGGTGGTGCAGAATGCGGCGGCCAGATTAATCAGCGGTGTGAAAAAATACCAACATATTTCACCCACTCTGGCCGCCTTGCATTGGCTGCCCATCCGTTTCCGCATCGACTTCAAAGTGTTGATGCTCACGTATAAAGCCCTAAACGGTTTAGGGCCTCGATACTTGGCGGAACGCCTTCTCCCGCCAAGATCTACCCGTGTCACCCGCGCGAGCCAGGAGGTGAGGTTGAGGAGCCTAACGCCGAGGGAGGCCCGGAAGGAGAAGACAAGAAATCGGGCCTTCTCGGCGGTGGCTCCTCGCCTCTGGAACAACTTACCTCCGCAGGTCTCCCTCGCTGGGTGTCTTCAAGAAGCAATTGAAGACATGGTTGTTCCGGCAGGCCTTTCCATCATACTCCTCTTGACCCCCCTCTTTTTGTTTTTGTTTTTTGTTTTGTGTATTATATGATTTAATGTAGTGCCTTCTTCTTTTAGAATTGTCTGTTTTCGTTGTTTTATATTATTTTTATGGTTGTTAGCCGCCTAGAGTGGTCCGTTTGGACCAGATAGGCGGGGTATAAATCAAATAAATAAATAAATAAATAAAGCTGTTTTCCTAATTTTATGAAGGTTGTCCATTACTTCTTCTGTTTTTTTGTTGAAAAGCCCAACACCATTGAATGGGAGTTCTTCAATTCTTGATCTGATGTCATCAGATATGCCAGCTGACCTAAGCCAGGCATGGCATCTAAGGGCAATAGATTTAGCCATTGCCTTAGATGTGGCATCAGCAGTGTGGCAGGAGGCAATTATTTGCTGTTTGGCCAGCGTAGAAGCCTCAGCGTGAATATTTAGGGCTTCAGTCTTAGAAGACTCAGGAGCCACTTGAATAAAAGGGAGGATCTTATTCCATAGTTGCCTATGGTAAGCTCCCATGCTGACCTGTTAGTTGGCGACTTTCATAAGAAATGAAGTGAGGGAGTAAAGATGTCTGCCTAGAATATCGAACTTTCTTCCCTCTTGATTGATAGGTGCAACTGATGATTTGTTGTGAGCTCTTGATTGATTGGATTCCACAATAACTGAATTTGGTGTCGGACATTTGGATAAAAAGGCAGTGTCCAGACTATGGATTTTATAATGGTTTTCCACATGTCTTGAAATTTGTAATTATGCAGGGGGTATTCTTTAATCAAATCTAGCATAGCAGGTATGAAGGAAAGGCTAAGCAGAGGTGTCTTCTCTTGATTAATATCATCAAAAATGAAGTCTTGTTTAGGAGATAGTGGTTCCTTGATTTGGAGATCGATGACAACAAACCAGTCTCCCTGTGAAAGGAGAGGAATGACAGTGTCCAGTGTCAACATTCTGAAACGTCCAGATGTTGGAGTGGGTAAACTGGAGGGTGATTCTGGTGAAATATTAGAGGCCGAATCATGGGTTGATATGGATGATTCAGAGCATGGGGATTGATGTCGAGTTTTGATGTGGAGAATTGTGTCGAAGAAGGCTATTGTGAAGCAGGGAGTACTTGGGTTGTAGTGTACCTTTCCGTATCATGAGGAGGAGGACCCTTATACATGGTTGTAACCTGTAGAGATGTGTTTTGAGGGGGAGAATGTTTAGAAGAATGCTTGGAATGCTTTGACTGTGGTTGATCCAGTGATGAAGTAGTGCACTTGAGGGCCGGCTTGGTAGCAAGCGGGATCTGGTGAGTCAATGCTGAGTGTGACGAGTGGGAATGGTGTCGGTATCGAGGTGGTGATAGAGACACAGAGGGTGAATATCGAGGTGGATATAGAAAAGCATATTGGACTCTCTTAGTTTCAGTGTAGTAAATTTGTTCCAGTAAATCTTCAGGGAAATACACGTCATATTGTTGGTAGTATCAATCTCTGAGATCTTCTCATGGTTGATACCGAGAAGATTCTAGGTGGTAATAGTACTCTCTGTGCGTAGGGTCATACTGCACTGGTGACAAGTGTTATCTCTTTGCCCAATGTTTTCGAGAGGAGTAATGAGACAAGTCTGATACCGAGGTTTGAATCGGGATTGCCCGCCCTGATGACACAGGGCTTGAATGGGCAAAGGCCTGGCTGGAGTGAACGTCAGCCAGAGAGAGGCCAATACTTGGCGACAAGCTACCAGTAGAAGCTGGAGCCTGGGCTGGAGGCAGAGGTGGTTCATCTCTGTCTGACATCAATCCCAAAATTGGGGGTGGATGTGTCAATTGGGGTGGTTGAATCTATGTAGATTTTGATGATTTCTTAGGCTTTTTTGAAGTAGTCTTATCTTTTTTCTTTTTAGATGATTCAGTTGATCGAGCTGGGGTCCTTGATGTCGATGTCGACTTCAGTCTTGAGGTAGACTTCAACTTCTCCACTTGGTGAGAAGGAGTTGTTGGTCTAGAGACTGGCCTAGGAGGCTCCTGGTGATTGGGTCAACGATCTGGGAACAGTGCAGAGTCCATGGCAACTGAAAGTGGATTGAGGGATTTCTCCCAAAGGTAAGATTGCAGTCTCCGAAGTCGCAGCTTAAGTGCAGGCTTCGTGAGTCTTTTACACTCGGGACAAGAGTGTGTTTGGTGCTATTCCCCGAGACAGAAAAGGCAGCGGTCGTGGCTGTCAGTGAGTAGGATCTTGTTATTACAAAGTACGTACCGCTTGAAAGGCTCGGGGCGGGGGGAGGGCATAAAAGACAAGGGAAAAATTGGAGGGAAGATGGGGGGAATGGGAGGGATCGGAAAAAACGAGGGAAGATAAAAAGGCTGAATTAAATTGAAGGTAGAACAAAGCAATTTAGAGGGGAAACGTCCAACAAAAAAGATGATTGAAATAACAGAAGAAGCAACTACCGATTGCAGTAAATGCTCAATTGCTCTAGCTCTCTCTGAAATAGGTCTAACTTAAGCAGAGGCTAAAAGGAACTAAGGGGATTTCTGGTGGGCGGAGCATGCACTCCATGGGGGAACGTCCCACTAATCACATGTCTTTAAGTTCTAGAAACTTCAGAGAACCACCCAATTGTGTGCATTCACAGAGGCCATGAAGAAGAAGCAGTAGGACAGTTCTGAAACAACTTGACATCAGTTGTTCTCCATAAAAAGGTTATCAGTACTGCCCAATTTAATCCTACGATGGCAATAAGCGCTTTATTAGGTCATCTACATTTTTAAAACAGATAACAAATAGTATTTGCAAAAGGAAAAGGCGGGGAGGAAAGATTCCCTTCCCACTTTTTTTAAAAAGAGGAAGATAACAAATAGACAGCAGCCTACAATTGTGTGACTCAGTAGACCAAAATGTCATTTGTATGGATCTTTCATCTCTTGGTTGCTGTTACTAATTTGAAATAATAACTGCATCTTTGCCTTAAAGTTTTGGCTTTCTACCCTTGTACTTTTGTTTATTCTTGTCATAATGACAAATGTACTTGGTTCAGTGAACATGCCAAGAGGAAGGCTATTCTATTCCATTTAAAAGAGTAAATATGTAACAGTGAACTCTAAACTATGAATTATGGCTACTATCTAGAGGACCAGGTTCTGTGACATAAAAAGAGGGGAAAAAACAAACTTGGGGATACATGAAGTAGTGAATAGTATAATGGAATCACAAAATAGAAAACAACTTGTCATCTGGTTTGGATGCAAAATAATGGGGATGCTTACCCTTTAAAAATAAGACAAATGAAGGTAATGTCTCATCCTGAGTTTAAATTAAAGGAAATATTAATACTGTATTAAAATCAGTAGTAGACACAAGATTTGATCCAGATTAAGTTAACTAAATTCCAATCCCACCAATTTTAGTAGGACTAAAGTTCAGTTAACTTCATCTGGAACCACTCCATAGTTACTGACCTATGGCTAACATTTATGCCGATATAAACCAGATAAAGAAAAAAAGGTACCTGGAACAAAAGCAAAACAAAACACACTCTTGTAAGAAAGACTAAAGTAGCTTTGTAGATGTAAGCAGCTACAGCACTCAACAGTTTTGAAACAAGAAAAAAAGTGGTGCGGAACTTGCACATATTTCGAAAGGAAGGGTATGTAACACTTTTATAGGACCAGTAGCAAATGAAAACAAGGATGCTTTCAAGTCCAGCAGGATCCTTCATCAGACTGCAGAACTTGAAGAGCATGGGGAGAAGCAGAACAGTCCAAAAGTCATTGTGACTAGATGTACCAGCACCAGGCTCTGAAGTAAAAAAGCAAGGTTCCAAACTGTGAAGAGCTTTTTAAGCTAGCACTTATATTAGTTTTAACTCAGATCCTTTCTCTGAAACATCTGGTCAGGATGACCTTTGAAGTTTTCTGCTTCTCCCTCTGCCATCTCAAATTTGACAATAAAAGCACTACCAAATAAAAGATTCCTTTTGGTGTCATTTACACAGGGCTGCCTCAGGGCTGTTGCTGCTTAGTTATGAGCCACTATGGATTGTTCCCAAATCTAAAAACAATACATTACAGTCTCAGAGTTGGGGTTCAAACCACAACTGTGGCTTTTTACGGACACATAAGCTTATGAACAACTCACCCGCACATAGGCCCAACACTATTCATAGCTGTCAATGCCAGTGTTCTCCAGACACAACTAAATTATTCATACAAATGTCAACAACAACTAACCTTGTTGTTGAATGGTTCTCTATCAAATACCAGGTAGCAGAAAAATTTTCACTGGTGAAATCAGCACTCATCCCAGGAAACAAAGCTTCGAGCTCTTTCTGTGGAAACTTTCCTCTGAAAAATTAAGAAAAAATATTCTCTGAAAAAAAGGATGGGAATAATCTTTTACTTTGATAGAGGCACACAAAAACCAGCTTTCCCTTCAGATGAAACACAAAGAATTCAAGTCATGCATGTACACATATCAAAGGATCAAAATATATCTTATACAAAAATAATTGCAAGCTTGCAGCAAGGAGCATTGAAAATACTGACAATATTTCTGTGTTTCTTTGGTACATGGAGTTCTGAGAACAACTGTTTTACTGGGTAAGACCAGGATCTATGTAGGCCAGACTTTGGTTTCTTAGAACAGACTAAGTCCTGTTTTCTCCTCCCACATTTCTCACTGAAAGCTACCCTGTCTCTGAAGATTAAGAGTGAGCAATGTTCCAGAGCAGCCATTCCCAGTGGGTGCCATATGGCCCCCTGTGGACCCGTGGCACATTTGAAAGGGGCCACAAATTTATCTGTTTATCCTTGTATGCCCACAGCCTGTTTGATAGGGGCCCTGAAACCCGACAAGAGCTCCTAAAAGGACCATTGTCAAAAAAAAGGTTGAGAATGGCTGTTCTAGAGTTTGGGGGCCAAATTATTGTATTCACGAAGGCTTTCACGTCCAGGATCTAATGGTTGTTGTGGGTTTTTCAGGCTCTTAGGCCGTGCTCTGAAGGTTGTTCTTCCTGACCTTTCGCCAGTCTCTGTGGCTGGCATCTTCAGAGGCCTGGAGTAGGAACTCTGTCCATGCTCTGTTGCTGTTTGTTGGATAGTTGAGTATTTATAGCTGTTGGAACAGAGATAGGGTGATCAGCGTGTTTTTTGTTGTGGGTGTATTGTTGTGATAAGGGGGAGAGACTATCTTTCAATGTGATTGATGGGTGTCGTTAGCTGGTCTTTTTTGTGCAATGATCCCTGGCCCTTGTGGCTGGGTAGAGATTATTGTCCTTTTGCAGGCTGTATTTTTCAGTATTGGGAGCCAGGCCTTGTTTAGTTTCAGACCTTCTTCTTTTTTGTTGAAGTTCTGTTGATGTTTCTGGATTTCAATGGCTTCCCTGTGCAGTGTAATATAATGATTGCTGGTGCTGTCCAGTACTTCAGTATTTTGAAATAGAATTTCATGTCCAGCTTGTTTTAGGGCATGTTCAGCTACTGCTGATTTTTCCAGTTGTTTTAGTCTGCAATGTCTCTCATGTTCTTTGATTCTGGTGAGAGTACTGCGTTTTGTGGTTGCAATATATACCTGTTCACAACTACAAGGTATCCGGTACACTCCTGCAGTGGTGAGGCGGTCTCTTTTGTCCTTTGCTAACCGTAATATTTGTTGTATTTTTGTGGTGGGTCTGAATACTGTTTGCAGGTTGTGCTTTTTCAAAAGTTTTCCCATGTGGTCCATGACCCCTTTGATGTATGGCAGAAATACTTTATTTGTGGGTGGCTGTTTTTCCTCTTCAGTTTGGTGTTATTTTCTTGGTTTGATGGCTCTTTTGATTTCATTCTTAGAATAGCCATTTGCCTGTAGGGCCCAATTCAGATGGTTAGGTTCGGTGCTGAGAAATTGAGCTTCACATTTCCAATTTGCACGGTCTACCAGTGTTTTGATTATGCTTCTTTTTTGTCGTGAGTGGTGGTTGGAGTTTTTGCGTAGGTACCGGTCTGTGTGGGTGGGTTTTCTGTAGACCTTGTGTCCCAATAAGAGGTCAGTTTTGCGTATGGCCATGACATCTAAGAACGGGAGTTGGCCTTGTCTTTTTCCACGGTGAATTGAATATTTGGGTGGATGCTGTTTAGATCGTTTAGAAATTCTTCCAGTTTTTCTTCACCGTGGTTCCAAATTGTGAAGGTGTCATCCACGTATCAGAACCAGACTGTGGGTGTGACCTTGATGTCTTCTGGGAAGATCTGCTGGAGGAGTGTCAGAGTGTCCTTTATTGGTACCTTGGTGAATAGGGATACTATGCCAAAGCTGATTGGTCTGTCCCCAGGACTGAGTTTTAGGGTGCTGAACTTGCTTTAGAAATGTCCTGAGTCTTTGATATACGATGAGGTTTGTCCAAAGTGGGTCTGTAGGAGAGTGGCTAGATATTTTATTTGTTTGTTTGTTTGTTTGTTTGTTTGTTTGTTTGTTCATTCATTCATTCATTCATTCATTCATTCATTCATTCATTTATTATTATTTATTATTTATTTTATTTATATCCCGCCTATCTGGTTGGGTCAGGACCACTCTAGGCGGCTAACAACATAAATAATACAATAAAATTAATATATAAAACAATTATTAAATGGTAAGACATTACACAAGGTGGGAGGAACAATAAGAGAGGAAAAAAGGTGTTAAGGGGTGTCAGGGATTATCTGACGGGAAGGCCTGCCGAAACAGCCATGTTTTTAATTGATTCTTAAAGATACCCAGCGAGGGGGCCACACGAATCTCAGGAGGTAAATTGTTCCAGAGGCGAGCAGCCACCGCCGAGAAGGCCCGATTTCTTATCTTTTCCTTCCGGGCCTCTCTCGGCGTTAGGCTCCTCAGCCTCACCTCCTGGTTCGCACGAGTGACATATGCCAATTCATATGTCGGGGAGTCGGTGGCACTTACAATGGGCCTGAGTGGACAGGACATTTCATAAGCAAGATCCAGCAGATCTTCCCAGAAGACATGAAGGTGCAAAAACACCCAGAACAGTTTTTAAAAAGTATAAAGCAGCACCTTACCTTAGCAGGCAGCCTCCTCGGATCGCACACTCTCTAACTGCCAGGGCGAAAGAGCTACAAAGAAGCAGCCTCGTCGCTACCTACAGTTAGCTATTTGAATTTCCCGCCCTTTCCCCCTGCCTTTTTTCTGTTCGTAAGTCAAAGCTACGTTCATAAGTCAAAGTAAATTTTGTCAATGGAGCTGTTTGTAACTCAAAATGTTCGTAGGCCAAGGTGTTCGTAAGTCAAGGCACCACTGTATGTAGATTGACTACTGAATTATCCACCTCAAGAACAATGTCTCTGAGAGAAGCACACTGCTTTAATGATAGGGAGAAGCATACTCTTTTATATTCAGAAAACAAACTGTTTTTGTGAGCCTTATCTCTTGGACATTTGGGAAACAGTCACATTGTATTCTTAACTCTAAAGAGGCAACATACAGTATGGGTTTTTCCAAGAAAAACTCCATTAGTGCTAGTCTATCTTGTTTATGGGAAGAACCTCTGTGCTGAGGTCATCTAGCCCTGCCCTTTTAAAGATGCCAACTTTTAGAGCTGGTCAGCTCAGATATGTCTGGTCTTTTCATATTATTCATTCTATGTTCTGCAACTGCCCTTCTGAGTGCCTATCAAATATCACATTTTTGCAGTAAAGTTCTACGTTCTACGTAAAGTAGAACTTTCCAGTGGGCTTTTTGTTGGTGCTAATTTTATCCGTGCTTCCACTACTTTGATGTTGATGGTTTTGTTTTTGTTTTTCCTCTTTTTAGATCACAATGTTCATTATATATTTTAACATGTCTTATTGTTTTAATCATTTGTATGCAGTGCTTAGACAAAAGGATGGCAGGCAAAAGACAAAATTAATCACTGAAATCCTGTTGCTCAAATGATACCTGCAGAAGGCAAATGGTGTAACATCCAGTCAATTCTAGCTGGCAGTAACAAGTTGCTGCTAGGATTCTCAGAGAAGGACGTGTGCCCCCCACTTTATGTGTGCTTCAGATCCTGGTTGTTAATTGCCCGTTAGAAGTTACTGAATGTTACACTACTTGCCTTCTGCGTACACAATTAAGTCACAGGATTTCATTCAAAAATAATTATATGCAAATTTAATATAATCTATATATTGTAGCTTATANTAATATAATATAATAAGAAATTCCTACATCCTGCCTCCCCCAACCTAGGTTTGTTACAGATCTATAGATTAGTTGCAAAAGTAGTCCCTTTGTAAAATAAGAATCAGCTCAATATTTTGAACTCGGATATAAAATTCATGAGAAGATTATTTCACATCTGAATGATTTTTTTAACAGCACAAGGGATGCAGAATATTGTGTCCTGTATTGATTTCTAATTCTGTGTCCTGTATTGAAAGCAATTACAGCCTTTTAAAACATGCAGGAGCCAAATCAACTCAGGCCACCAGGGTGAGGAACATCAGATAATTTCTATTAACATAAACAACTCTATTCTAGTAAGTGCTTTGATTACCATAGTGCAGCTTGTCAAACGGATTGATGACAATATGTGAGAGAGCTGGCTCCGCTCATAGTTTATGTTTTCATTACATTCCACTGCCAAATTAATTTCCAGAAACTTGCTTACTGTCTCAAACACTGTGGCCAGGCTGTTAACAGTAACAATAGTGAGACTAGGATATCTGTCTTACATGAGTGGTGAGAATCTCAATACTGGGTGGCAAAAGCAGGCTAGTAACCAAAGAAAGATTGTGCTGACATACCTGAAAATCGCCAAATGCTGTCAAGCATCTGATTTATCATAAAAACAAAATAAAAATGTCAGACCAAGAACGATTTAACTTCAGATACTCTTCCTTTTGACTGGCTCAATCAAGAGTGTGTAGAGGCAAAAAAAAAAACTCATTACAATTTTGGCAAGTTCTTTATGAGACAACTCTGGAAGTCAGATCAGATATGCATGCACATCACTCAATTTTGCATCATATGGCTTATCAACGTTTTATGACTTATATCAAATTCAATGAATCATTTCTGATGGCTAAAGTGATATGATATGGTTCCCACAATACTTTGATTCTTTATGGGTTATTCATACATGCACGACACTGAACGGGGCTCCTTAATTATTCACTTTTCCTGAATATTCAGCTACTCATTACACTAGAAATGCTTTTCCCCCAGCATCAGCCAGTTTACAAGTTGTTCCCATTTCTAGAAAAATGTAACATTATTCATAAATGTCCAAGTTACACTCTAATACTACTAAAGTGGTGCCCCGCATAGCGACTATAATCCGTTCCGAAAAAATCGTCACTATGCGGATTCGTTGCTATGC